GAATAACGCGGGCTGAAATACATCCATTGACAACCGCAACAACCGCCACCAAACGAATAATAATACCATGATTGAGTAATTGATTCATCCCGGCAAGCCTCGCAGAGCCTCATGACCCCTTGCCAGGAGAGTTCTGAGTTGGGACCTTCGGCCACGTGCACTTACAATATGAAGCGATGTCAATGGCGAGGTAGGAGACTGGAGTAAACAACAACATCATCATCAGCAGCAGCCAGTGTCTATCCGCTGCTGGATGGAGACCTCCCCATGCAGTCTCAGTCCTGCCCTTGGACCGATCTCATCGCTCCATCTCCGCGTTGGTCGATCCTCTTCGTGAACCCGGACAATACCGAGGGGCTACCGATAAAAGTTCCGCACGAGATAGATACGCAACCTACTTGCAGCGCTGCCGACTGCACCACGGGGCCATCTCGTAGCCCTCTAAGGCGAGTGTGGGGCTCGCGTTAAGGTGTCCGTTTGATTTTTTTTATGATCTGGACTTTATTTATTAAACCTGATGCTGGCAAGCAAAAGACTTACGGATGTAGCGGTGGCCGGTGATGGCTTGGGGTGGTGAGCTCGGGGGTAGGTGGGCGAGGTTAGCCCAGCTGTCGTCGGTCACCATCAGGCTGGGTGCGTGGAGACGCGGGGGCACAGAGTGCTCGACTCACAAGCCCAAAGATGCGAGTTCAACGCCAGGATCGGGCGAGATTCGACCCATTATTTCTGCTTGGTCGATTGTTCAAAAAAAGGAAGAGGAGGCTACAACGCTTTGTGGAAAGAACACAGTGGTCGTGCTTTGGATGGAGTCGGCTCCGTCATAGGAATGTGGAATTTGTACCGCTGGCTCAGGCTCACCGTGCATGGGAGATGAGCATTGTCCAATCGCTTCGTTTGAGAAGCAAACGCAAAAGTCAACACTCTTTGACAACACTGCTTTAAACATATTTCACCTGCGATGTTCCAGGCAGTGGTCCGTCTTCGTAGCATTGAGAAGCAGGCACTTGGCATCTATATATTATTGGATAGTTTCGATTGTTGGCACTATTGTTGTTTGGTGACATCGAATGCTTCAATCACTTCAAGGTGTGCCTGTCATATTCCCGTCAAAGAGATACAACGCTGCTTTCAGTCTACGCGTGTTCCTGTGCATGTGTGTTTAATAGGTGGGGAGTGGTGGTGGGGAGTGGTGGTGGGGAGTGGTGGTGGGGAGTGGTGGTGGGGAGTGGCGGTGGGGAGTGGCGGTGGGGAGTGGCGGTGGGGAGTGGCGGTGGGGAGTGGCGGTGGGGAGTGGTGGTGGGGAGTGGTGGTGGAGCGGTTCGCGCGCTGCGTTACGAACCTGGTGACCCGAGTTCGATTCCCGCTCACGGCTACCAACAGCAGTGACGATTATCTGAATTGATCATGGGCCACCCCTAGGTAGACTCAGCCTAAAATAAGCACCTGGTGCGGTGCGTAAAAACATCACCACCTGGGAGACAAAGGCGGCTGAGCGTGGTGCTGGCCACCCACCCCCTCGTGTGCCGTTCTGGCCTTCATAGGTGATCGCTAACAGCACTTGCCCCAACAGTCTGTTAAGGCTATACGGAGGAATCTCTGTTTTGTGTTTACTAGGTGCTCGCTAATAGAACTTGCCCCAGCTGTCTGTGCACGCTCCACAGGGGATCGCTGCCTTTGGATGTGCGTGTGTGAAAAAGTTAGCGAGCACCTATTAATTCCGACACCGTGAACGAGAGGATGTCTTTGTGTGTGTGAGCAGTGGTGGCAAAGTGGTTCGCGCACTGTGCTACCGACCTGGGGACCAGAGTTTGATTACATTATCGATCACGGCTAACAACAGTAGCGATTATCCAAACCGGTTTTGGACCATCCCTGGGTCGACTCAGCCTGAAATTATAAACACTTGGTGCGATGCGCGAAATTAAAAAATATGTAAACAAAGGCGGTCGGGCGTGGTATTATCCACATTATTCGTTCGCGTGCCGTTCCGACCTTAATAGGTGTTCGCTAACAGGACTTTTCCCAGCAGCATGTACAATGATGATACATTTGGGGATATGTGTATGTGTGCGTCTTTGATGATTGCTTAGTGTAGGGAGCGATCGCGTACCGGTTAGCGGGTTGCCGCTATGAATTCGATTCCCGCTCACGGACAACACCAGTAACGATTATCTGAACCGGTCCTGGGCCTCCCCTAGGTAGACTCGGCCTCAAGTTAGTACCTGGTGCGGTGTGGGAGACAAAGGCGGCCAGTCGTTGTTGTTGGCTACCGAACCTCTAGTGTGCCGTCCCGGCCTTCATAAGTGCCAGCCAACAGCACTTGCCCCAACAGTCTGTTGAGGCTACACGGGGCACCTTTGTGTTTGTTTATGTACGGGGCGCTTGTGACCAGCTGTTCGCAAGCAGGATTCCCCTTAGCCGTCTGAGACTGAAGCTTATCGTTCACCTGTGTTTTCGCTTTGGTCGCGAGAGCGACGACGTTTCTGTTTGCTCGACACCTGGGTTCGATTCTTGGACCCTCCCTTATGTCGGATACCCCTTAAATGAGTAATAGAGCACCTGGAGCGGTGTGTAAAAATAAAGAGAGCATCCCATCGGCATTTGGGGGAGACAAAGACAGCCGGGAATAGTAGTGGGCACACCACCCATCCGTGCTCGCTAACGACGCTTGCCCCATCCAGTCTGTTAATACCTGAATGGCATACATATATACAAAGATACCCCGTATAGCCTTACACGACTTGGGGCAAGTGCTGTTAGCGAGCACCTATTAAGGCCGGGATGGTACAAGGGGGTGGGTTGCCAGCACCACGCCTGACCGCCTTTGCGTATACACACGTATATATATACATATATATACACACATATATACTGTATTCAAAAATTATTTTTACGCGCTGCAAACAACCGCCGTTTGCCACAAAGTGGCGGTGACATCACCACGTCGCTTGTGCCAGGCTAGGTGCACCATGATGCCACGTGAAGTGTCGAAGGCTCGCTGGCAGGAGGTAAACGGGAACGAGCCCCCAGGTCGTGCCACGGGGTTGACCGACTGAGATGATTCGCGTATGCATCAGCTGTATTCCTCCCTGTGCCGTAACACGCACTCACGTGCACGCATATCCACGGGTACGTGTGTATGTGCAGTATATATACGAATATAAATCGTATTGGTTTGTGTGCATCAGTATATGTAGGACGGTATGTATACATGCAATGCATTTATGAGCGTGCATGTTAGTGAATGAGTTGCCGTGTTGATACTCGGTATATGTGTCGTTTGCGGCATATATGCAGTCATGTATATGCTATATGTATGTGTAGCTATATATGTATGTAGGTGTGTATTTGGGCAGTATATATGTGTAAGTATATTAATGTATGTACAGTATTTACGCTTGTATTTGGGCAGTGTATATGTGTGTATTAGAATGTTAATATATGTAACAGTGAGTGTATATAGGTGTGTATGGGTGTTAAGTATATGTACGTATGTATTCATGTAGACATGCTTACACATACAGAGGTATGCATTGAGGGGTGGCACAGCGGGGAGCGGTGGCGCACTGGTTGGCGCGCTGCGCTACAACCCCAGCGACACGAGTTCGATTCCCGCTCACGACCAGTAACAGTGGCACATAAAAACGAACCGGTTCTGGGCCTCCCCGAGGTTGACTCGGCCTCAAATGAGTACCTGGTGCGGTGTGTAAACATAGCCACTAGGGAGACAAAGGCGGCTGGGCGGTGGTGCTGGCCACCCATCCCTTAAACATATCGCGGGGGATCTTTGTCTACATGTGCGTGCGGTGTTATTGATGAACGTGTTGAGTTTATTGTTGTTAATTGTCCCTGTGCACTACTGCGGACGCACCAACAGCGGCATTAACGAAATGCAGCATTTTTTTTCGCTTTCCTCTTTCCAGATTTGAAATCGATCCTCTTCTTTCGTGAAAAACAATCAAGGTGCCCCCCGCCCCCGCCATCTATTTTAAAACAAACAAGCAAACATCTCGCGTGATTGCCCACCGCTCCACCAAGACCGAAGGCATCATCCCGGGGGAGATGACGCGTCAACGGCACCCACGTCAATGGGCACCCACAGCCACGACGACGATGACGACTTAGAAGATTTAAAAAAAGAAAATTAGGATTTGGATTCGTGCGCTCCGCGATCGCTAAGCCAGGGATTGTCCACTGCAATATCATTCCGCGATCCAGACAATAAAATGGCTCCATTTGCCGTACAAAGCGCGCGGCTAAATTGCCGGATTTAATATATTGCGCCGTGCTCCGTATAAATTGCGCTCCTCTCTCTATTCTCTCTCGTCTCCTCTCTCTCTCTCGCTCTCACCGTATCGACGACCCCAACACTCCCCCAGCAGCCGTCTAGGTCACGGGTTAACGTCGTCGTCGTCGTGATGATTGGCGCGGGTTAACGAGGGAACCTCCCGAGACATTTTGCGACGAACAATTGGCGTGGACGCGCGAACGATCTTAGGACGGGCACTGGCTTGTTTTTAAAAATAATTTTTTTTTTTGATTCAAAGTGTGTGGGGTGCCTGAGCTCAATTCATCGGTCGCGTCTCGCCTCCGTTGTTTGATGTTAAAATGTAAATGTTGGGGCTTAAGTCAACGAATACACACGCGCGCGGCGGTTAAGCGTTCGAGACGATGCAAAATGTATCATCAGTCGCGATAGTAATCTAGAAGCCTATACAAGCGGCATTTTAAGTTTCGACGATTTTGTCTACAGCAATTGACATAAATTCATCAAAAATGTCCAACTCATGGCGGTCGATTTTTTTCAAGAAACATTATAAATAAAATGTTTTGTTGCTAAAACAATTTAGAATGAGTGACCAGCATAGGACGATTTATTTAAATGCGTAACTTATGCGAGAACTCACCGAATACGTTACAATTGCATCGAACACGAGTCGGCTGTTTTGTATCGGTGAGCTAATAAGGGAAAGGACCCCCCCCCCCCCCCCCACATTCCACCCTCTCTCTCTACCGACTTTGATCAGATATTCTAATATATCGGGAAACACACATTTCCCGAGCGAGAACGTCTCCTTTGAACGGACCGAGCGCGGTGTAAGCGGCTCCATGGAGGGGTCAAGTTTCGGCATCGATCGAATTCTGACTGGAAAATCGGAGCCGTCTCCCCGCGAGGACACCGGGCACCCCCCCTGCCCGCCCAGCCCGCCCAGCCCGGGCAGCACGGCCTCTAGCCCGACGTCCGAGCAGGCGAGCCCGAGGCTGTGCTGCGTCGAGCAGGCCTCAATGGCGGAGAACGCCGCGGCGCTCCGCGGGGTTCAGTGCGGCCTCGCGCAGAAGACGGCGCAGGTCGGAGCCGCCGCTCCCTTCAGCTCGGGCGCTCGCCTCGCCTCGCTGCCGTCGCCTCCCGCGTCCTTGCTCCTCTCGCCCTCCTCCATGCTCTCTACCGCCACCGCGGCGGCGGCGGCGAACGGGGACTCGAACTGCGACGCGCACGGGACGCGGCTCCTCCTCAAGGCGGCGGCGCCGCCCCCCGCGCACCCGCCCCCGGGGCCCGGAGACGGCATGATTGTGACGTCATCGCCATCGTCGGCCATCATCGCCATGGGTTCCTCGTCGACGACCTCGACGACATCGTCGTCGTTATCGTCGACGCTGCCGTCAACCAACGCATTCAACTCCTCCTCCTCGTCCTCCTCCTCGTCTTCGTTCCTGATCCGGGACATCTTGGGCGAGGCGAAGCCGCTCGCCACGTGTCCGCCCTACGCGACGCACGGGGCCGCCGGGGGTGCGGGCGGCCACGCGCGAGGGGACGCGGGGCCCGCGGGGGCCCTGGCGAGGAACGCGGGGTGCAAGGGGGGCGTCGACACGTGCAGAGGTGAGCGCGCGCACGCGCACCAACACGTGCACGCGCACCAACACGTGCACGCGCACCAACACGTGCACGCGCGCGCGCATCCACACCCACACGTGACCCCCACACACACGCGCACCCACACGTGCACCCAAGCCACACGTGCACCCACACACACACGCGCACCCACACGCGCACGCGCACACGCGCACACGCGCATACAAGACAAAGATCCCCCGTATGCCTTAACAGACTGTTGGGGCAAGTGATGTTAGCGAGCACACACCGCATAAAAAAAACACACACACACGTGTACGCACACACGCGCACATGCACACATACGCACACACACACCGCACACACATCGCACACACACACCGCACACACCCCACATACACACAAACAAAGATCCCCGTATATCTTAAGGTGCTCGCTTACACGCACACAAAGCCAAAGATCCCCCGTATAGCCTTCGCAGACTTTTGGGGGGAATGCTGTTCGCGAGAACAGAAAGCCACCTATGAAGGCAAGAACGGCACACGAAGGGGTGGGTGACCAGGACTTGCCCGGCCGCCTTTGTCTCCCTAGTTTACACCAGGTGCTCATTTAGGCTTGCACACACACACACACAGATATACACCCGTATTCAGTCAAAGAATAGTATGTGTACACACACTTGCAAAGTCACACCCACAAAGACAAAGATCCACCCGCTAGCCTGCAACACAGATTGTGGGGATCAAGTGCTGTGAGAGCGCGTGTTCAGGTCGGAGGTGGGTTAGCCAGCGTTGCAGCCCGAGGCGGCCTAGGGGAAGCCAGGGGCCGATTCAGATGTTCTCTCACCGCATGTTTGCTGGTCGTGAGCGGGAATCGAACTCAGATCGCCGGTTTCGGAGCGCGCGCTGTGCAAAGCGCTGCACTAAATGCTCTCCAATGCGGCGCAAACACACACGCGCACGCACGCGTGCACGCGTGCATACAATGCATAGAGTATAAACGGCACCACACACATTCGCATATATATCACGCAAATACAAAGATCCCTCGGATAGCCTTGACAGACTGTTGGGGCATGTGTATTAATCTAGCACCTACGAAGTGTCTATATACCGTGTATATAACTGCGTGTGTATATATATTTAACAAAAGCCAAGAACAGCACGCAAAGACATACAAATGTATGCATAAATGCATGATTACAAACACCCACCCACACAAACACTCAAACACACGCCTAGTCTCACACATTGTAGAAGGCAATATCCATGCACGAATGCGCACTTGCACGCGCGCCGTGCACAGACACGCACTTGCACGCACAGATGCACACAAACACGCGCATACACGCGCAATCGATACGTCGCCAGGTTGACACACGGAAACACACACACACACAGCCGCGTGCACACATCGGAATAAGTCAATAGAGACGCACCACGCGTATATAGGTACAGAGACAAACCCCCCCCCCCCCCCCATAGCCTCAACAAACTGTTAGGGTAAGTGCCGTTAGCGAGCACCTATAAAGGCTGGCACTGCATACGAGGGGGTGGGTTGCCAGCATTGCTTCAGGTCGTTTTTTGTCTCCCCATCGCGAATGTTTCCAGACCACACCGGGACCAAATGTTCGCCGATGCCCACTCATGGCTAAAATGGGTAGGAATCGAACTCGGGCGGTCAGAGTTCGTAGCAGTGTAGTGCGCTAACTGCTGTGCCACCACTCCTCATACACGGGGACACGAACAGATACATAGCAGATCCGCACACGGGAGCACACACGGGCGCAGATATACGCACATGCACACACACACACAAAGGGGCACACAGACGCACGTATACGAAGACAAAACAAAAATCCCGGTGTAGCTTTTAACAGACTGTTGGGGAAAGTGGTGTTCGTGAGCACCTATTAAGGCCGGCGCGGTACACGAGGAGGTGGTGGTCAGACAACACCCGACCCCCTTTGTCTTCCCAGTGCTGATATTATTATAAATATCGTAACAGGTACCTAGGGTAGGCGGCCCTGGATATGTTGAAATATTCGCCACCCGTTAATGGTCGTGAGCAGGAATTGAACTCGGGTCGCCGGGTTCGTAATGCAGAGCGCTCACCACGACACTACCGTTCCCCCACACAGGAGTACAGACACACGGATACACGCTCACACCCACATGGGTACACACGTGAGTACACGCGTGCATATCGGCTCACAAAACAAAGATCCCCCGTATAGCCTTAACAGACTATTGGGGCAAGTGCTGTTAGCGAGTAGCACCTATGAAGGCCGGAACGGCACACGAGGGGGTGGGTGGCCTGCACCACGCTCGGCTGCCTTTGTCTCCCAGGTACTCATTTAAGGCTGAGTCGACCTAGGGGATGGCCTAGGACACGGATACACACGCACGTGTACACGCAGACACACGTGTGCACACACACATACACACGTGTTATCACATCATGGGTGAAGCTGTGAGCGGCCACTCTAAGCCGGTAGTGTGTTCCCTTGTTCACCAACAGATGTAAATGTACAGCCCTTTGTAAATTCACTACAGGTTGAAGGCTTTTCCACGCCTTGTGGTTCATTTGGGGTTGTTTGACCATATTTCCCCACTCCACTCTCAGTGCGGGTTGGTGGAGGGTTTGATGGAAACGGTGGGTGGGGGGGGGGGCAAGGACCGGTTCAGTTCTCCGAGTTCATTGCGTTGTGTGCTAACCACTGCACCACCGCTCCTCCAGCCCACAGATAACCTGTGTTTATAATCAGGTGAGAGTCAGTTTGAGAAGATATCTGTTGGATGAGGGTTAGGGGTTATATTTCATGTGCCCGGTGAAATGTCGGAAACAGGTTCTGTGGATTTTTTTTAACCATTTATTTATAATCCAATGGCCCTGATATATTTATTTATTTAACACCATATCTAAGGGACAAACCCAAACGGTCCCAAAACTCCAGGCAGCCGGAAACGAACAGCACTCGTGAGATGAAGACGTTTCCAGTGGAACATTTCTTTCGCATAATTTCATCGAGACATCACCATGGGTCGTCGTAAGCGCCCTCCTCAAAGTGGAATCGAATAAATAATAATGATTAACAATAACAATTGGGGCGTCGTGGTGGCGAGATGTTATCTACCTCGTCTGGTGTACAGCATGTATTGGGTTCCATCCCGACCCTGACGCCTGCTGTATATTTGGAGTTTGCATTTTCTCTCTCTCTCTCCCCGTGTGGTCGCGTGGATTTTTCTCCGGGTCCTCCGGTTTTCCCTCCACTTTTAGTAATCAACATCACCACGCGTTTAGATTATTTGGCTGCTTAAACATTTCCACGTGACAAGCCACTTCGTTGAGCTCTCATTTGTGGCCAGGTCGCTTCTGAAAACAGAGCTACGTAGCTCAGTGGGTTTTATCTGGTAAATAAAATACTTTATTTTATTTTCGGTTTTCATTCCGAGGTGCCTCAAATGACCTCGTATCCCAGACTCGATGCGTTACATCATCTCGCGTGCCGAGGTATAGAGGCGTTCGTCGCACGGCAATCACACCGGGTGGCGGTGGTGGTGGCACGTGGCTGCCTGTAATCAGGCATTGTGGAGGCAGCAGCAGCAGCAGCAGCAGCAGCGAGGGTTGGTGGATTACCACGAGCCAGGATAATGTAGTCGAGCAAAAATATCGACTCCACCTGTTCCATCTGTGCGGGATATGGTGTTGCTCCCTCGTTTTCTCCGGGTGCTCCGGTTTCTTCTCACGTGTAAACGTTCATGAATTGCCGATAACACCTTCATATCTAGAGGACTACAGAGCTTGGTGGTGGGGAGGGGGGGGGTTCCTGCTGGCTCACTGCCACGATGTATAAAACAGGTGTTATAGGCTGCGGGGTTACATCGTGAGCAGCACAGAGGGCAGCGCGGACGAATCCATTGTTGTGCCGTGCGTCTATGCCCCTCTGCCTTCACCAACCCGCACTGACCAGCGTGATGAAGTATTTACAAATAACCTCCCGCGCTCTCTACACGACGTGGGGAGGCCCTCATGCAGTAGTGGGTTGATAAAGGGCTCTATCATAAGCCAGCCTGTGTCCCTGCGGTCGACTCAGATTCAATTCCCACTCCGGGGGATGAACTCAGCCCGTCATCACCCTCCGCACAACGCGTACCAACTGTGTCGGAGAGGTCGGCAGTGGTTGTCCTGCGGAGGAGCTGACCGTGTGCGCCATGGCAATGTGGAATTTCCATCGCCGACTCAGCAGCCGCTTGCCACGTGTCGCTTGAGCGGGGAGACTTCTTCCGTGACTCGCGATTTGACTTTTGAGATCAACAGAAAGCAATCGTCGCCACGCTGCTGCTGCTGCTGCTTGTCAGGACAAGTCGCTGCTTGCGGTGAATTTTAATTAATCGCTGGGTATCCAATTAGCCATGGCGGTGTAAATCAGTGCACTTGCATACACAATAATAATTACAACAAGGATGTGTTTTCGCTCACTCGCTGTGTCCTACATGACGTGAAATAGAAAATGAAACGCGTGGAGCGGAGCGGTGGTAGAGTGGTCAGCGCCGCTGTGCTCTGCACCCCTGGGCGGCGACACGAATTCGATTGCCAGACGTGCAGCAGATGTAGCACGAGTGGGAAGCGGTGTCACGATGTGAGTGTCATAGTATGTGTCCTGGTGCTGAGTGAGAGGCTGTATGCGGAGGTGTGAATCTCACGTTCGTGTCCGTCGATGTTTTAAAGCATTTAGACGAAACGAAAAAAGTGAAAATCTTAATGGAACTTTGGTGAGTGCACTTAGGCCAGACGCGAGACTTCCATGCGTTGGTTTTGGCAGAGCTTAGCCGTGTTTTCAGAAGGTCTATAACCCTATACTGATGCTATTAAAATAAGTTCTCATTTTCTATTCATGACATAATGTTTACCATATGTAGTATTACTATTAGCGCTATTGTCGATATCCCAATGAAGCCTTCATATATTGCTCAAACGAAAGCAATAACGCTGCTTATCTTCTTGGTTCTTTCGGTAAAGTCACG